GCAGATGGATATCCAGTTTTGCCAGCACCATTTGTTAAAAAGACTGTCTTTTCCCCATTTGATGGACTTTGGGCCCTTGTCGAAGATCAGATGACTGTAGGTTGATGGATTTACATCTGGGTTCTCAATTCTGTTCCATTGGTCAATGTATCTGTCATTGTACCAGTACCTGATTTGTGATTTTTAAAAAACTTGAACCAGAAATTGTGTGGTGAGATGTAGACAAAGCACTGGTATTTAATTTGAAATAGTGATCATTCTCTTTTATTTGGAATACTTTATATTAATTAATACTTGGTAATTTTTTTTGACATTTTTAAAATTAGTCATCTCAGTAGATGTTTAATGAATGAATGCTTTGTGTGATAATTAGCAAGAACATGAATTGTGCAGCCAGGACTGGGTTATAATTCCATGATTAGCCTTTTAAGCATTTGGAGTAGAAATTGGAAGTAGAGGCCATAGTTTTACTTAAAATGGGAGGAAGTAAGGTACAACTACAACTTTTAGTTAGAAAAGGAAAAGGAAATAGGAAAATTAGAAGCAGAAGAGTTTGAGAGAAACAGTAATTTAAAGGGGGCAGGAAATGATGACTTTTTCCCAAGTTTGAACAGAGAAAGAGGGAATTAAAATTAAATTTTTATTTATAAAACATTTATTTTATTTATCGGAATTAAAAGAGGAATTAAAAATTAATTAGAAGAACTTCTGTGACGAATGCAGGTTAAGAAGTTAATAACTTTTTAATATCATTTTAAATGGAGGAGATTATTTTTTTCCTAGTGCTTGGGATCTGAGTCAGAGACGGCCTCAGGACCAAGTTCATTCTTTAAAATTTTCAGTCTCCAGTGTCTGGAAAAAAGGGAATCAAATTATTTTAATATTCAGAGTCAGTTAACCTAACTAGAAAAACTCCTTTTCCTGAAAGAACTGGTTAAGGGAGTTTTCTGTGATGTAGACAGTTGATTATGAATGTGTTACATCATGTCAAGCTGAAATGGGTAACTTTTGCTGAATGTAATACAGCTAAGTGCAAAGATTACATTGTGTGAAGTGATTGATAATTTACTGTAATTAACATCTTTCTCTTTCTGCTAACAGTACTTCACTTATTTTAAGTGTATATATTTTAAATTTATTACATAAAAATTTTGTTTGAAATATAGTGTATAATAAGGTGTTAAACTTCAGTAAATGAACTCCAGTCACATCAGATGTCTAGCTTGTGTAATGTGACAGTTGACCATAATATTAAATCAAAACAGATTTATAGATAAAATACTGTAGATCAAAATTTTAAAATGGGATTAAATCTTTTTATGTATGAAGAATTTTTATCTTTCCTTAAGCTGAAAACTGGTTTGAGAATAAACTGTATTGGAAGTTACTACCTTAAAAGCAAGGATGGCAAGGCTACGTTTCACATACTTTGGACATGTTGTCAGGAGGGATCAGTCCCTGGAGAAGGACATCATGCTTGGTAAAGTAGAGGGTCAGCAAAAAAGAGGAAGACCCTCAATGAGATGGATTGACCCAGTGGCTGCAACAGTGAGCTCAAGTGTGACAATTGTGAGGATGGCTCAGGACTGGGCAGTGTTTTTACTCTGTTGTACCGGAGGTTGCTATGAGTTGGAACAGACTCGACGGCAGTTTACAACAACCACTGGTATTAAAATTCAGCCCTTGTTCTCTAGCATCTAGCACAGTGTCTGGTGCATTTAAGGCATGCGTTTGAATAAATTTTTTTATTTAAAGTTATTAAAACCCCGTTGTCACTGAGTCAGTTCTGACTCATAGTGACCCTATAGGACAGAGTAGAACTGCCACATAGGGTTTCCAAAGAGCGGCCAACCTTTTGGTTTGCAGCCGAGCTCTTAACCACTGTGCCACCAGGGCTTAGAATTCTGTAGGTTAAATCTTTCTGAGGGTAAAGAATGGACTATGATATTTTGACGTATCTTCTAATACATAAACATTCAAATTTTATAACCATAGTACTATTTTATGCCATTATTTCTCTCAGCTCCTAGAATAGTGAATAGCAGGCACTTAATATATTGTTCATCTGTAAGTCCTGTATTAGGTTTAGCCATGTGAAATTGCCAATAATCAATCAACCCCCCCCCTTTTTTTTTTAACCTATAAGAACAACAGTTTCATGTGGTTTAGTCTAATTCTAATATTAATTTGGTTTGGGAATAATGTGACTATACTTCCTTTGGATGCTGTGCTGACCATTGAGTTAAAATAGAGTAAAAAAGTTATTTTGTGTTTATAAGTTAGTGGTTACTTTTTATACCATTCTGTTGTAAAATCAAAGAGTTCTGAAGAAGTAGACCATCAGTAATTCAGTAGATCAATTGACAGGGCTGGAGGGTTTCAAAAGGGAGGAGGGCTATTTATAATGATGTTTAACTTAAATTTATCAAAAAATTTCCTTGTTTGAAAATTTCAGAGTAACATTTCTTATTGGATATTTCCTAAAGTGAAATATTGGAGTTATTTTGGTGTTTCTCATATTTCTATAAAGAATATTAAAGCAACATTCATCCAAGAGAATTTGTATGTTTGATTAGTTTGGGAAATGCAGTTTTATTCTGAGTTACTGTAATCAACATTTTGTTTGTATTCAGTGTGCTTTATTTTATATGTCTCTAAAGAATAACAGTGATCAGCTCGGATAACTTGTGGATACTTTCTTTCTGAAGTAACACAATTTTCTTTGTTTTTAGTGCCACCATGGCAACTGCACCGTACAACTACTCTTACATCTTTAAATATATTATTATTGGTAAGTTTATTTAACTTACAGTCTTGTTCCCCAAAGAAGGTTAATACACAAAATATTTACATACTAATATATCACTTCAGAAGGAGTGAATGTTTTTCTTGCTGCTCAATTAAAGCACCCTTGATAAGATTATTTTTGCATTAACAGTGGCCTTAGGTACTTCAGTAATGTAATGTTGGGTACCCTATGAAGTGATATTGGTTGTTCTTGAGGGCTACCTGAAAGTTTGTTAATGCGGGGACTGTGATTAATTTCCTAGGAGTGCTGAAACATTCCCAAAATACCATGATAGCCTTCAGATCCCTCTGGATTCCAAAAATTGGTAGAGAACATTCATTGAGAATAAATTGTGTAATATACATAAACTATAATAATGCTGTTTTTCCCCCGTAAGTTTCAAGAAGAATTTGCTCAAATTAAAACTCTTAATGCTGCGTATCAAGTATAGTTGTAAAAGGAAAGTTGAAAGTACACTTGTCTTTCAGATAAATCTTCATACTAGAACATGTTACTTTAATGTTGAGCTGTGTGACTTTGTAATATTTTCTTCATCAAGGGTTAAAATTGCTGTAGTACAGTCAGAGATGACAATTGTTTTATTAAGTTCTTGTATTGCAAATTATTTTCTGTAGATTTATATAAGAAATATGAGGTAAGATGGCACCTAGTGAATCAAGCTTCCAAACTCAGTTTGTTATTTCTGCTTGTTATGATGCCCTATTTGTAACTGGTAGAAGTCTTTTGCTTCCACAGGTTAAGGGAAAAAACAAAGCACAGCTTGGTGTTCCACAGTTGAAACATTCAAAGTAAAAACTACCATTATAACAATTTCTCTGCTAAAAAGCACTTCCCAGCTAGTGGCTATTTATTAAAATAGTAATTAATTAGAAAAATAGTAATTAATTTACAGCCGAATTCTATCACTTGTAAAGATGGGACTAGTCAATTTGTAATTCACAGTGAAAACTGACTTTTAGGATCTTTTGAATTCATTATGAAGTATGGAAATACAACTTTTCTAGGTATCCTGGAAATTTGTGATGCAATATGATATAAGGGGTATAACAGTCATTGAATATGATTATGAGAGTACAGAATTGAGAAATGTAACTGCCATCTGAAACTTTTTTTTTTTTAATAGGGGACATGGGAGTAGGAAAATCTTGCTTGCTTCATCAGTTTACAGAGAAAAAATGTAAGTTCAATGTGTGAGGTAAAATATTAGTAGATTTCTTTATAGTTACTTTCCTGCCTTTTAAAAAATGTCATTTTCAGTGTACTCTGTGCATTTAAGGAGTCTCTGGGTGGTGCAGACGGTTAAGTGCTCAACTTATTAGCTGAAAGGTTGGGTGTTCAGACCCATCTAGAGATACCTCAAAAGCCAGACCTGGCGCTCTGCTTCTGAAAGGTCACAGCTTTGAAAATCCTATGGAGCAGTTCTGCTCTGCACAAGTGAGTCAGAATCAAGTCGACAGCAACTTGCAAATAAAATTTAATATGCTGACATATTTAGAGTATTGATTTTTTAAATGCAATGTATAATTTGATTTGTTTAGAGTTCTTGATGGTAAAAACTTAAAGGTAATTTTTAAAAATGCCTAGTATAATGTCATGTTTAAATAATCTCACTTAAGTTTCCATTATAAGAATTGTTTTACTAGGGGAAAATTGCTGTATATAACATTTGTTAATTAAATAGAAGTAAATTTGAAATATTTAAAGTGGTATTGTTTCTATATTCATTCATGACCAGAGTGATTAAGAGTCAGAGTACAACTAAACTTTGTCTTGGGCGGTAGTGGAAGGGGCTAGTTTGTTTTATGTAACTTGTATGCTAAATATGGAGTTCCTGGGTGGTGAGAACAGTCAAGCACTGGGCTGCTTAACTGAAAGGCTGGTGATTTTAATCCACCCAGAAGTGCCTTGGAAGAAAGGCCCTGGTGATCTGAAAGATCACAACATTGAAAACCCTGTGGAGCTCAGTTCTACTCTGAAACACGTGAGTTTGCCATAAGTCAAACTTGACAGTAGCTGGGTTTTTTGTTTGTTTGTTTATTTGTTTTTTACCAATTGACAAACTAGGTAGGGCTGAGCTGGGCCGTTCTTCTGATCTCACCTGGCTACAGACATCTGGAGTCTTAATTGGGTGTGAAAAGCCAACATGGATTCATTTAGTTTTGTTTTGTTTTTTGTTTTTTTAATAATATTTTATTGTGCTTTTGGTGAGAAGTACACAGCAAATTAGGTTCCCATTTAACAATTTCTACAGATATTGTTTAGAGCCCTGGTGGCTCAGTGGTTAAGAGCTTGGCTGCTAACCAAAAGGTTGGCAGTTCGAATCCACTAGCCGTTCCTTGGAAACGTTATGGGGCAGTTCTGCTCTGTCCTATAGGGTCACTATGAGTTGGAATCTGTTCAACGGCAACAGGTTTTTGATACATACTGTTCAGTGACATTGGTTACATTTTTCACAACATTTCAACATTCTCATTATTTTTGTTCTGGTTGTTTGTTTCCATTAATCTAGCTTCCCTGTCCCCCCGCTCCCCCAGCCCCATAACTGGTTTTTTATGCTAAATATAATTGAAAATTTTCCATATAGTTTTGAAATTGTTTCTATGGCATTTTTGTACTTCTTACCACAGAGGTTTGATATAACATTTTATGACATGTCCAGTGTCTGTGTGTACTTGTACCATAAAGTAGTGGGTTTAGGTTGTCAAGTGACCTAATTATAAGGAAAGGACTAATGTATTTGTCCTATTGGCCTGTTGTTGCTTCTGCTGTGTGCCGTCGAGTCAATTCCAACTCCTAGCGACCCTGTGGGGCAGAGTAGAGCTGCCCGATAGGGTTTCCCAGGCTGTACTCTTTCTCTCTCTCTCTCTTTTTTAATTTTTCATATAAAAATTTATATGCATGTTGTTTTGTGACATTAGTTGCAATCCCCACAATGTGACAGCACACTCTTCTTTTCCACCCTGGGTTCCCTCTGTCCGTTCAACCAGTTCCTGTCCTTCCTGCCTTCTCATCCTGCCTCCGGTGAGGAGCTGCCCATTTGTTCTCGTTTATCTGATTGAACTAAGAAGCACAGTCCTCCCGTGTATTATTTTTTGTTTTGTAGTGCTGTCTGAAGAGTGGGCTTTGGAAATGATTCTAGTTCTGGGTTAGCAGAGCATACAGGGGCCATAGTTTTGGGGGTTCCTCCAGTCTTTGTCAGACCATTAAGTCTGATCTTTTTATGTGAATTTGAATTCTGCTCTGCACTTTTCTCCCACTCTGTCTAGGACACTCTGTTGTGTTCCCTGTCATGGTGGTCGTTGGTGGTAGCTGGGCACCATCTGTTCTTCTGGTCTCAGGCTGGTGGAGTCTCTGGTTTATGTGGACTTTTAGTTTCTTGGGCTAATATTTTCCTTGTGTCTTTGGTGTTCTTCATTCTTCTTTGCACCAGGTGGGTTGGGACCAGTTGATGCATCTTAGATAGACACTCGCGATCCTAGGCTATAATCTTTATGGGAGTAGATGGCCAGGTATTTTCTCCTACGGAGCGGCTTGTGGGTTCAAACTGCTGCCTTTTTGGTTAGCAGCCAAGCACTTTAACCATTGTGCCACTAGGGCTCCTTCCTAGTGGCCTAGACATGTATAACATATATAAATATATATATAAATATATATATTAAACATGATGGTATCGTTTGAGACACTGATAGTATTTTTCAGGATGAAAATTTGTTTGACTGACAGCTCTTATAAGGAGTCCTAATGCCACTGATTGATTTGTTATATGTAATGATTGTTTGAAGGCTACATAATATAACGTTGGTATTGTGAAGTGTTTATTTCATTAAAATCCTTATTATTACTTAACAGATTTTTCTAGTCCAGGAATCAGCAAACTGTGGCCTGTGGGCCAAATCCAGCCACTGCCTGTTTTTGTAAAGTTAGTTTTACTGAAACAAAGCCATAACCATTTTATATATTGTCTGTGGTTGCTCTTGTGCTTCAACCACAGAGTCGAGTAGTAGTGACGGAGACCATATGGTCTACAAAGCCTAAAATCTGGCCCTTTACAGAAGTTTGCTGACCTCTGTTCTAGTCCAGTCACATATCTCTGATTTCTTACTTCTGGATCTTTGCCAATTTAATTTTCAGTATGTTTTCAAGTATATTTATAGTCTGCAAGAATTAATACATCATTTGATTATTCAGTGACTTCAAATTCACTTGATTTTTATTTCCCCCAACTGATCTTAATTTGATGTTTTCTGGAAATTGGGGATATTATAATATATTTTTTCCTCCCTAACAGTTATGGCTGATTGTCCTCACACAATTGGTGTTGAGTTTGGTACAAGAATAATTGAAGTTAGTGGCCAAAAAATCAAACTGCAGATTTGGGATACAGCAGGACAGGAGCGGTTTAGGGCTGTTACACGAAGCTACTACAGAGGTGCTGCAGGAGCACTTATGGTGTATGATATCACTAGGTAAGAGACTTAATAATTTCTCAACTTTCATACCTGGAAAAAGAAACCTACTTTGGGCAGTGTTTCTCTTTTATTGGTAGGCATTCTTTGGCTTGTAATTGTGTGACTGTAAATGAAATTATTTGGGATTTATAGTTTCTTCACTAAATTGCTGTGTAAAACTTGATGACAGAACATGTTGATATCCTTTTCTGAAAGTGGGTATAACTGGAAAAAACTTTAGAATATGGTGGAGTGAATGGAAGAATATAGTTCTGAAAAGCAGCATTAGTGGAATTATTTGAGGTGAAAAAATATTTTATACCAAACTTTATTCCTTTCACACCAGTAGAAAGCAAACAAGTCTCGTGGAGTTACTCTGTTCAATCTCTAGTGTTAAAATTGACACCTTCTCAAAATAAGGCCAAGCAAAGAATTAAGTAGTTTTGCTAATCCAACATGGTAGATTATAAATAGGTTTTATACTTGCATCTGAAAGTGTTTGAGTATTTAATAGTTTATTTCTTTATATTTCTTTTTGTCCTAAAATGGATTAAAGTGGCCTATATTACGGCATGCAGAAAGATTAGATTTATTCGACTGTTTCTGGAAACTCGTAACACTTGATAGACTAACAAGCGTGGGCTGTAAAGCTTTGCCTTTGGAGAACGTGGGAAACTGCACTACTTCATTAGACCCTGTCCTGTTTGTATACTGGAAGCTAGAAAATGAACTGGATCACATTTTATGCTGATGCAGAGCAGCAGTCTAAAGCAGTGTGACTCTTGTCTCACTTTTTTTGGGGGGGCGGGGAGCAGGGTGGGAGAGTGGGACCAAGTGATAATTAGACTTTTTTGGGAAATGTTTTAGACTTTTTCCTTCTTGAAGAGTCACGATGCATATTAGCATATTAGGACTCTGAGAACTTGCGTAGTAAAGTTCTTTACTGTTTAACTTTGTTAAATTTGGCGTTTTCTAAGCTTATTTTATTGAGGAACACACTTTAAAACATACTTTGTAAACATAGTAAATATTTTTGGCAAAACTTAATCTATTCAGGTCATCAGAAGTGCTTTAGCTGGAAACAAATGTCCACAGTTGATGAATGGATGAACACAATGTGGTATATCCATACAATGGAATATTATTCAGTTAAAATAAGGAATGACATTCTGATACATGCTACAACATGGATGAACCTTGAAAACATTATGCTGAGTGCAAGAAGCCAGTCACAAAAGGCCACATATTGTATAATTCCGTTTATGTGAGATATCCAGAATAGGCCAATCTATAGAGACAGAAAGTATATTGGTAGTTATCAGGGGATGGGGAGTGACCAATAATGGGCATATGAGGTTTCTTTTGGGTACGATTAAAATGTTCTGGAATTAGATAGGGGAGATCAATACACAACTGTGTGAATATACTAACACCCACTAAATTGCATACTTTAAGAAGGTGAGTTTTGTAGTATGTTTATTGTATCTCAGTAAAGCTGTTATTTAAATAAGTAATTCAGGTCTTAGGTGCTTGCTTGATTCAGTGTCATAGTATAGTGACATTGTTGCATGACACCTGTTTTTTCTATTTTTTTTCCTATTAATCCTTGACATTTTACAGATTTAACAGTTTCTACTTTAATAATACTTTTTATTCTTGGCATTAAGTCTAATTCTTACAAGGTACTTTGCTAAGTTGGCAGCATAGCAGTTATTTGGGTGTATCAGTTATTTAATGTATCATACCCAACCTCCACACCAAAGTTAGGGATATTTTAATACTTTTATTTTACCATTAGTACTGTCACTTAATGAATATTCAGATGATACTGTATTTATATATTTAAAATTATAACAACAATGAATTTTAAATTCTTAATGTGACAGTTATCAGAATCACTGGCCAGTACATGTAAATAATAATGTTTACATGATCTTGATGATACTTTCATAGAATGTGTATTTCTGTTTACCAGTTTAAAGTGGTGGCAGTTTGTAATTCACTCTCCCTGCTAGCTTTGAAATTTTATGTTATCAAAATCAGTATAAATATTTTTGAACTTGTGTTAAAGTTTTGTGCATGAAGTAAGACATCTGTTGTGTAAAAGCAAGGTATGCCAATACTACAGATATTGAGCAGTGATAAGGCTTGTGTTTTTTAGAAATTGTATTTGAACATTATTAGAAAATTCTAAAACATTGGAAAAAAAGTTGTTACTTTGATTTATATGACATTAGATTTTTTTGAAATTTAGGTGGTGAATTACATATAACGTGATACAGCATAATAAAAAAAAAAAGAGAGACTGAGTCAGGTGCTCTTTTTAGTTCCCACTGGAAAAGGATTAAATGTGTGTAATACTGAGTTTCATGTGAGCACCAGCAGCTGGAGAACATGGAATGTATTCGGACATGTGGTGGGTGGAAAAGGATTCTAGGCCTGACTCTGTGAAATCATATCTTTGTGGGTTTCTGTTTCCTCACCTGTTATTTAAATGAGTAAGGTGGGTTAATGTTCTGTGAGTCTATAATTCAAAAACATTTCAACCTTCAAAATTTGTATTGTCTTGACCCCTTGGGTAGATTCTACTTTGTATAATGTTGTAAATTATTTTATTTGCTATCTTTGGGCCTACGTGGCTAGTGTGAATGAGCCTGTAAGTTTAACTCTTGCTTGGAGAGAGTGGAGAAAGAGGTCAGTCTGAATCCCAGAATGATTTAGCTGCCTGGTAAATAAGAATACAAAGTTAGGATAAGCTAGTTCTCTGATATATAGGGGCTTGAATTTACAGTCAGATATCCTACATGCCTTTTTAAAGCTGGTTTTTATGATGATGTAATTAGCTTTCTCTGTAAATTATTATTAAGGAAGGGGGAATTATACACCAGGTACAATAGTATGACAATCTTGGTTTCTAATTGAGAATTCCTAAAATTTAAGAACAGTTGCAAAAATACTTTTCCATTGAGTGTCCTTGGTTAGGCATTTTGGTACTTTGTCTTTATTTTGTGATTGAAAATCTGGATGATTTTAGTTTTGACTTAAGATAGAAAACTCTGAGTTCAGAATTGTTTTCTATCAGTTTTCTGTTTGTTCCTTGCTTGCTTATTGGTCTGTTTCCGAAAGTGCTTTCAGTGTAAGTAAATTACTCCTGACATGTAAGTAATTAGCAAAGTTGTTGGATATTGAATTATTTATTTGAAAATAATGTGTTTGGCTAAATTTTTGATTGATAAGTATGTGGTTGTATTTAACAACAGTTGTTCCTCAGGGTGACAATCTAGTCAAAGCCAAAATACTCACTTTGTTAGGATCTGTTGATTATAGTATGTATTTTAAATATTTATTGAAGTTTCTTCTTTTTTAAAAAATGGCAATTGTATGTAATGGTCACAACTTTAAACTTTAATTTTTGCAGAAGAAGTACATATAACCACTTAAGCAGCTGGTTGACAGATGCAAGGAATCTCACTAATCCAAATACTGTAAGTTAAATGACATCTTTTTTATATAAAATTTAAAATTATAAATAACCTAAAAAGGAAAACCATTTTACTGGTGGGTTTTTTTTTTTTGTGTTTGGGTACTAAGAATGAGGGAATCTTTTGTTTTATTCTTAAATGAATTGAAGCAAACATTTTTTTCAGTTCTAATTACCCCTGGTCTTATATTTTATTATACTTAGATTTTGTTCATCTTTATGGTTAAAAAAAAAAAGAAATTGAAAGTTGTAAATGGGGTGGTGATCAAGTGGAGGCTATGAAACCTGAAGTTACCATTTTTAAAGGGATCTGCATTAGTTTCGCAAAGTATTACCATTGGGGGAAACTGGGCACAAGGGATCTCTGTATTATTTTTTATAACTGCATGTGAATCTACAGTAGTCTCCGTAAAAATTTTTAGTTAAAATAAAGGGAATCTGCATGCTTTAAAAAATTAGTTTCTCTATTAGTTTTCCCTAGGGCTGCTGTAACAAAGTACCACAAAGTGCTGTACCAGAAAGGAACAGAAATTTATTCTCAGTTCCGGAGGCTAGAAGTCTGAATTCAGAGTGTTGGTAGATCCATGCTATTTCTGAAGGCTCTAGGGGAAGACCCTGTCTTGTCTCCTCCAGCTTCTGGTATCCCCAGGCATTCCTTGGAATATGGCAGCATAATTCTGATCTCTGCCTCCATCTTCACATAGCTGTTTTCCGTCTGTGTCTCTTGTCTCTTCTTTTTTTATAAGGACACCAGTCATATTGGATTAGGCCACCTCTACCCTAGTATGATCTCATGTTAACTTATTACATCTGCAAAGACACAATTTCTAAATAAGGTCACATTCACAAGTACTCCGGATTAGGTTTTAACATTCTTTCTGGGCAACACAATGCAACCCATAATATCCTCTTAACAAGACTTAGAAGATATTTATTGAGATTTTTAAAGGACAACCACCATGGTAGACCCTGCAGTATACAAACATAAATCTGGGTTCTTGGCCCCCCCAAGAGCTTATAGTCTAGCAGGGAAAGGACAAATAACTGTGCTGCAAAGCAGATTGAAATATGGGTTGGAAAGAGAGTGACTGATGGAGTGCTTGGGGAGCCCAGGAAAAGCAGTATCATCTGAAGAAACCAACTTTATAAAGGAGGTAGCATTTGAGCTGGGCCTTAAGAGGTTGAGTAAAGTTTTGGTAGATGCTGTTGAGGATATTCTAGGAACAGTATGAGAAAAGGCACTGAGCTGTGACTGATACTGACTTTCTCAAGAACAAAACTTGTATCTCACTTACCTTTGTACAACCAGCATCTTGCAGAGGCCTGGCTCAGTAAATACGTAATCATTGGTAAGATTGGCTTTTATCAGGGAACAGCAATTTAGTCATATTGAGAATCAGTTAACATTGTATGCCTGTTATGCTAGGGACTGTGCCTGGAACTTCTACATACATTATCACATTAAACCCACTGTAGGTACACACATAAACCTATATGTGAATGTTCATAGCAGCTTTATTTACAGTAGCCAAAACCTGGAAAGAACCCAAATATTTCTCAGCGGATGAACAGTTAAACACTGTGGCACACCCACACTATGGACTACTACTCAACAATAAAAAGGAATGCATTGGGTTTCCTATTTGTGTTCTAGCACCCAGATTTGCACCCCCAGCACCTAGCAGAGGCAGGGCTCAGTAAATACATAATCAGTAGTAAGATTGGCTTTTGTCAGGGAGTAGCAGTGGTAGTGTTTTCCTACCACTGACTTGCCGAGTGACCTTTGGCAAGTCTTTTTCCTTTTTGAGCTTTAATTTCTTTACTTGTAGCCTGAAGGAGTTGAACTAGTAGTCTTTAAATTTTTTGAGGGTCCCAGAACCTTTTGAAAATCTGGTAAGAGCCACAGACTTTCTTCCCCAGGGAATGTCATTTGCACAGAATTTTGTATTTAATTTCAGGGCATTCACAGAGCCCCTGGAGCTTGTCCGTAGACTCTTAGTGATCTTTCTCAGATAAATCATAATCTTTGGCCTAGACCATGGACTGCCAAACTATGGCCTGTGGGCTGGACTGAATGATTTTTTACATTTTTTTAAGGGTTTTAACAAAACATCAAAGAAGAATATGCAACGGAGACCATGTGGGGCCCTAAAGCTAAAATATTAACTATCTGGCCTTTTACAGAAAGTTTGCCTAGATAATTACTAAGACCTCTCTTAGTACTTAGGACTTAATGATTTGGTGGTTCTGCCTCATAGATAGTTGCTGGTATTTGGTTTCCTTTATTTTTATATTTTTAAATACTGTGTTTTTGGTGAAGGTTTACACAGCAGTTTAGGTTCCCATTCAACAATTTCTACACAGATTGTTCAGTGACATTGTTTACATTCTACACAATACGTGAACATTCTCATTGTTTCCATTCTGGTTGTTCCATTTCCATTAATCTCCTTTCCCTGGCCCCTTACATTCTAATCTTTGTTATAAAGTAATTGTTGACTGTTTGGTTTCATAGGTGATTTTTTTAAAGAAGCACAGTACTTAGGGGTCATAATTCATTATTTCATTATTTATTTTGAACATTTTATCGTGTTTTAGGTGAAAGTTTACACAGCAAATTAGTTTCCCATTAACAATTCATACACAGATTGTTCTGTGACATTGGTCACCTGTCACTGCAATGTGTCAGCACTCTTGCCATTTCCACTGTGCCTTCCCCGTTTCCCTGCCCCTCCTTGCCTTCTCTTCTTTGCTTTTGGGCAGATAGTGCCCGTTTGGTCTTGATAGTTGATTGTTCTAAGGACATTCCTCACGGGTGTTACTGTTTATTTTATAGGCCAATCTATTATTTAGCTGAAAGGTGACCTCTGGGAGTGGCTTCAGTTCCAGGTTAAAAGGGTATCTTAGGGCGATAGTCTCAGGGTGCCTCCAGTCTTTATCGGTCCAGTAAATTTGGTCTCTTTTATGAATTTGAGTTTCGTTCTACTTTTTTCTCCCATTCTAACCAGGACCTTTTATTGTGTCCCTGGTCAGAGCAGTTGGTAGTGGTAGCAGGGCACCATCTAGTTCTGGTCTCAGGCTACAGGAGGCTGTAGTTCATATGGGCCATTAGTCCTGTGGACTAATTCGCTTCCTGGAGTTTTTGGCATCCTTCACTCTCCTTTGCTCCAGGCAGAAAGAGACCAGTAGTTGTATCTTAGATGGCCACTCACTTGCAAGCTTTTAAGACTCCAGACACTAGTCACCAAACTAGGATGTAGAACATAACTTTGTGAATTACATTATGCCAGTTGACCGAGATGTCCCACAAAACTATGGTCCTAATCCTTCAAACCCAGAAATCCAATCCTGTGAGATGTTTGGTTATGTCTGAGATGTAATCTGTAACTGTACCCCCATGTGTTTTCTTACATACCGTCGCACAGACGTGTATACATAAACATGCATACACCAGGATAAAAAGAAACCCGTTGCCATCAAATTGATTCAGACTCATAGTGACCCTATCAGACAGAGCAGAACTGCCCCATAGGGTTTCACGGAGTGGCTGGTGGATTCAAACTGTTGACCTTTTGGTTAGCAGCCTGAGCTCTTAACCACTATGCTTCCACACCTATACACATATATATACATACCTATATGCTTATGTACATACATATAGATCCGCACATGTATGTTTTTGGTTGTTCTTGCTATTGTTTCAGAATTATATGTGCCATAGTAATTACCAACAGGTCCTCCTTGTTTACTTTTTAGTGACATTGTTTGCCTTCGTCAAGCTGTTACCACTTGGTTTCCTTTTTAGGCCTTTTAGGCCTGCATGGTTTTTGGATTTCAGAATATGCATGGTTGGTTTAAATAATTGCTTTTGTTTTAAGACATCTTTCTTTTTGGTCACAAATTAGGTAATAATTCTCATAGGAAATAAAGCAGATTTGGAGGCACAGAGAGATGTTACATATGAAGAAGCCAAACAGTTTGCTGAAGAAAATGGTGGGTTTCTTTTAAGACTTTTAATGGCTTTTTTTGGGGGGAGGGGGTCACACTTTGGGAAATTTCTAAGGAAAGGTGGGATTATTTGACTTTTTTTAATGCATACTGCACAAAAATCTCAAGAATGAGGAAATAACAGTGTGTCTCTGTGATTCATATTGGGGGTTGTACAAGTATTTAATGAGAAATATAAAGATTCCCTCCATCTCAAACTCACATACTCATTAAATATTGTGGTAGGAACTGATGGGAAACTTTTGTTCAGATGTTACTGAAGAAAATGCCCTTGTGAATTAATTTGAAATATCTTAATCGTTGTGTGAATTTTATTTTTAGGCTTATTGTTCCTTGAAGCAAGTGCAAAAACGTAAGTATAGCTAAGATGTAGATCATGTTTTGGTTACATTGAAGTTTCTCAAAGTAGAACCTTGAATATGAAAAAGGTGTACATCACTCTCTAGAATGAGAAGTTTCTATGTGTCCTAGTGCTCATGGCAGGGAGAATAGTAAAGCAAACATCCTTTTACTTCCTGTCTCAAATTTCAGAATAATAATTTTTGTTACTCTACCTAAAAGATTGGCCCTTGATTTTGTACCCATTGGTAACCCAGGTTAAAAAAATAAAACCATGTTTGCATTTCAAAAGTGTTTGACTTTCACAACTGAGGTTAGAGTTTGGCATCTCAGAGCCAAGTTTGGTCAACTTATTCACATGATACTTCTGATCATGGTAAAAAGCAAGACTTAAGGAAATACTCAGAGTCTAAGAATAATCAGAAGCATAACTAACATTTCTAATTGTTCTCTCATGTCCATATTGAACCCTAGGACTCCTATCATAGTTTCTCATTAACTAGGCCGAAGATTCCTTGCAGTGGTGAGGAGAGGCTAGCCCCTTACCGTTTAGCCCCATCTATGCTGTTAGTCCTAAAGGAACTGAAGTGTGAACATGGCTAAGCACAGATACATCACCATTACATGATAAAAAGAGCACAGTTCATGCTTGACTGATCAGACCATACAAATCCTGGAATCCTGTATGTTTGGAGATACTTCTGTTTGGAGTATTCACTCTGTTATCACAGAAGTGGCCTATGTTAACTGTCATATTTTATATTAATATATAGCATTTTAATGATTAGAACACATATACCATATTTTTACGCAAATACATGTTGCTGTAAAAAAAATTTGCTTAGTGCACTTACAAAAATAACCTTGTTAGGGGGCAGGGCATGGTTGGCAAACAAACGTAGAAGGTGTGCATTATTTGCGTAAAAATACGGTAGTTATCCAAATAGGGTTTGTAGAAACAGCTTAGTATCATGTGTATATGCTTTCCATAGAAAATATTTTTTCCATGTTGTTCTCTTAGCTCAGTCTTGTAGTCTTCTGGTAATCTTATTAGACGACAGTGGTTAAGTTGAAGACATCATGGTAGTTGACCAAAGCTTAGCAAAAAGTCAGTGTATAATGTCTTATCTTTTGTAGAAAACTGTGGTTCTTCAATAAAGTTGTTAATTGCCTCCTAGGGGAGAGAACGTAGAAGATGCGTTCCTTGAGGCTGCCAAGAAAATCTATCAGAATATTCAGGATGGAAGCCTGGATCTGAATGCTGCCGAGTCTGGTGTACAACACAAACCCTCAGCCCCGCAGGGAGGCCGGCTAACCAGTGAACCCCAGCCCCAGAGAGAAGGCTGTGGCTGCTAGTGACCTCTTTGCCATGGCCCCTCATTTGACCTTTCACCTATGTCTGTTGGAAGCAGTACTTTTTACTGCCTCATTGTCTTCTGTACATCTTACTGGGTTTAATTAAAAAAAAAAAAAAGAAAAAACAAAAACTCTGTTGTAAAAACAGTTTAACACAATACTAAACTGCTAAACAACTAGATGTAATCAGGTTATCAAAGGCAAGTAGAGTTATAAATCTCTCCTGCATGGTAAATCTAGACTTTTTTTTTCCCCCTTGATTGTCCTTGTGATATGTATGTCACCAATACATGATTTAAACTGAGCACTGATGCTGGACTTCATGATTTTTACCTCCCCCTCCCCCACCCCCCACCAAGCCCCCTTTGGCAAGGCTTTGTCTCACTGTACGGTTTAATTTGATATGTTAAGCCTTTCTCCTCATCTTTAACTGTTCAAGTATGTCTGTTATAATCAATAAGTTTATTGCTGTGAAATGACTTCTTATGCTAGAGAAGGGGTCCTGTAACTGCTTTTTTTGTTTTGTTTTTGTCAGACAAATTCCCTATTTTGTGTGGATGGCATTTTTCATGAGGAGGTTTGCTTCTGTCTTAGCCTTGTATAGGGAAAATATCCATTTATTTTTCTCTTGTGCTTATAGCTTTATCTTTTTTTTTATACCATTTTATCCTTTTCTCTTTAACAGAAAGTAAATATGTATAAAATTTGAAGGAACTGAACTAACAATACATTCTGTGTATATTATTTTAATGAAGAAAATAAATTGATTACTGGCATTATAACAGTATAAAGTACCAGTTTGTACAGTATGACCTATATGTGACCATGTTACTCCCTTCCATTTCCCAAAAGGAAATTAAGAAACAACTGCAGTTCACAGCACTGGCTTCACTCCTTGGTGCTGGCAGTGTTTGGGGATGTGCTGGAAAGAGCTCCTAGCGTGAGAGGATTAACACTACCAGATTCTGTTCCATCTTTGCACCATGGCTTACCTGCTGACTTTCTGAACTCTTCTTGTGCAATCGACAATGTGCTAACCTGCTTTTCTCTTTTTGGAAACGTTTTGCATTACAGGCTACATTTCTTGCCTTACTGTATAGAAAAAGAAAAAAGGCTGGGTTTATTATTGCACATTTTAAGCTTTTATACCTTTATCTTTTTGGAATGGTCAGATTCTGAATCCGACAGCTAGAACCGCAGGTCTGCTGTTAAGGGATTTTAAATTGTGCGTTTTTTACACTTCAGTGAAATAATTTCTCTCCTGTGTTCATAGTATGAAGGGGCTATTTTATGTCATGTTGGCATAAATTGTTTTGTGAAAGGGAAGGTGCTTCTAAAGGTATTTGTGCTGATAACAAAGTAAGTTACTACTTTGCATTAGGTGGTCTGGCCATTGAAAGAATACTGTACTATAAGAAACAATCTGATTTCTTTAGACAACAAATTTATGTTTTACCAGGTTCTTCACTGCTGTTTACTGATTTTAATTGAGCTTATGGTTCAGAGGCTGGGAATCAAGATGTCATTTGAAATAGGTAAACCTTAGCACACGACAAAATGCACTCAGCTCAACTGCTGTGTTTAAAATACACATTGTAAATCCCTCTTTATGGACACTAAAGTACATCTTTTGGGTTAAAAACACGTGGTAGTACCAGAGTATTGTATAGTCAATGTTAAATGAAAGCCAAAACTGGAATGCGCAGAAAGTAGGATTTGGTTAATTTGTGGGCTTATCTTTACTTTTGTCTTTAAGCTTTTTTAAAAGATTTCCTGCAGTACATTGGTATATTCTGTTAAAGACTTACAGTGATCCATTTTGCTTACACTGTTGCATCACAAGGAACTTGCCCAGGGACCATGACCTGCTGGTATGTGTGTATATTTACAAAACAAAATAAACAAACCACCCATTGGGATATAAGGTAGCAATCACAAACTAGACTGTGGCTTGTTTAGGTGCAATACCCTGATTCCCAAAGTTAGTTACAGTGGGCCTTATTGTTTTTGTGACAGAAGGATTTATTCAGACTGCTGTACTCTTCATTTGATGTAACAAAATGCTATTAATCTAAATATTTGTAAATAAAGTACCTGTATCTAGATTAAATTAAAATTGGTTGCATTATTTTCTGAACTATAATAGGATTTCTTACTTTCTTCAGGCGAACATTTGAGACTTGGCAGTTTTTACTACAGGAATTGTCCTTATTTATCGTATAAAGAGAAGTCTACATATGTAGTATATAAAACCACATCACTAAGTAATTGAGCTACAGTTTTATCCTTGTGTTTGGATTACACATGCCGTATGTTTTCAGTCATCCTTTTTCAGTGCAAGATCAGCACATCTGGTGGCTGATAGTGTTCTCCCTTGAGTGCGCTTGGGGCCAGATTCTGTTATTTACATGTGCAATCCTTTATAATAAACTTGGGTGCTCTAATAGAGAAGCAAATTGTCATATTGTAATATCCATGTGCCAGGCACTGGGCAGTACACTTTGGAGAGAATGAGAATTTCTCTTAATGTTTAACCGATGACAGCTTTGCTTACTGCTTGTGTGGGCCACTCTAGGTTCCTCACTGCCCTTGCACCCTGAGGCGGCCCTCCTCATTAGCAGTTGGTATTCAGTACTATATGCGTTAGATGACATTCCAGTACAGTGTTCAAGTATTTTTCATGGACAATAAAGTGTTTGATGCACTATCCTTGATTTTTTTTTTTTTTTTGGATTGCTGTTGTTCACATACTACTATAGTTAGCAGTAGTAAAATTCTTTGGAAAGGTGTCTTTTGAAACTAGGTATTCAGCTTCACACATTACCTCACCTCTAATTCCACCAGACCATAGTTTTGAGAACCTTTGCCCATATGCCCACTGTTTTAAAGTGTGATTTTTTTTTTTTAATGCGTGGTTCAATTCAGTCCCCTAAGTAAAAGAAAAGACCAAATGATTGCCTTCTATTCCTGTTCATGTGGCAGTATAGAGAGATGTTTTACCCCTATCCAGCACGGAGACAGCCAGGCCCAAAAAATGTGCCCTAAAATATTTCAATACCTGTGAATAAGGCAGGCTTTTTGAGCATTTTGCTAAAACTTCAGAAAATGAAACAAAGGAAAATGTGAATACAAAAGACACTAACAATGTAAAATTTTCTTTTGGAAGTAGATGCCTTCTAGAAATTACTGAGTGTTAATAAATTTTATGCCATTTTCATTATCTTTATTGTAATTAGAACTTATCCCATTATCTTGATGGTCCAGTTCTAGCCAAACATAACTTTTTAGGACTGTACACCTCAGCAGGTGGTGACAGATTATTCTGTGCGCTTCTGTATTGTAGAGACACAATATAATAATCTGCTAGGGCTCTACAAGCTGCCGAGTGGCCTAAAAAGGAGTTCTTGGAACTATCTTAAAACCTAATAATCTATTACATGTGGTCTCATACTTCACTTTACCCTTGGAAATAATTCTGTTCCACATAACTGTGACAGTAGTTGTAATCCTTATTTTTAAAGAAATAATGTAGATTATAGAGTTAAGCTTTTAATTACTGTAGTTTAAAAATTAAATGAAGTCTACATAATTCGAATTTACCACTCGGATTCTCCAAAGTATAAAGTTCTGGCTGAAGAAAAGCACCTGCAGTGTGATAAGTTTTATTATAGTATTTCCAAATGAAATATGTTTAGAAATAAGTAAAACACATCAACCTCCAAGCAGAAGACAGAAGACCATTTGAAAGATTGTCATTCTCATGGAGTTAAGGTAAAAGTTTAGAAAGCTTTAAAATAGATTGATCTGTGAAATACAAAGTCAGATGATAGACCCAAGTCTGTTGTATCTTTTATTTTCATATGAAAATAGATTTTAAGCAAAATCCAAAAATAACTCGACACTATATAAATGAAAGGCTTAAATTAAGTACATTTTCTTCTTTGTTTCTAAATAATTACCAGTTTATAAATTCAAACGTGCAGTTAAAAAATCAGCACTGGTTTATAAAAACACATTCCAAATATAAAACCTCAACCACCTGGGACCCCGGTTTAAGTTTTATACAACTATTCCCATATGTACAAGTGATTTACAAAAACCTTGGCATTAATGGTACAAGAAAAACTACAGTGGAGTTCAGCATCTGAATTCACTGGATCTTGCTAAAATCCAAGTGCTATTCCAACTATGAAGTTAGTGAGGTAGTAGAGAAGGTATTTCCTCATATTTATGCAAGATTGTATTCCGCATATGGCTAAGCCATTCTTTTCCTAAAAGGTAGAAAGGATGAATTAAATACTTGTAACAATAAAAACAGGTACACTATGTATTAGAGCACTTCTTTGGAAAAATGCTTTAACCACTACAAAATTAGAGAAAAAGTTAAAAAGTTACTTTAAGAGACTTTTTATATGATAAGCTCACATTAAAGAACTTCCAATTCAAAGTACTAGTTAAAGGATCTCTGCAGCACACACCCTGTGAACAGGAGGCTGGAATGGCATCAGTGTAGGCAAATGTCTGATTCTGACGGACTTGGCAGAACTTGGTGGAAGGAGCTCTGAAAAAAGATAAAAAGGTTTACACTGTCATAGGGCAACATATGTACTGTTTAATGAAAAACTATTTTGTTCTGTAAACCATCTAAAGTGAGAATAGCAGCACAACTGGAAGAACATAATCGATGTCACCAAACTGTGCACGTAGAGATTTTTGAAATGGTGTGTCTTTGGCTATGTGTATTTTCACCAAAAAAAAAAAAAAAAAAAAAGGTCGAGAAGGGAGAGGGTTGACATGTCGTGGGGTGATTAACCAATGTCATAAAACAATATGTGTACTGTTTAATGAGAAACTATTTGTTCTGTAAACCTTCACCTAAAGGGCAATAAAAAAAAAAAAAGGTTTAGCAATCAGCCCCCTAACTCCAGCCTAGTTCAGGCTTTTCTCACACAGGCCTGGGTTACAACCCCAGATTCCAATAATTCTAACACTTTCTCTCTACCCACTGTTATCCTCTTGCCTTTAGAGCACCTGAATTCTTCCAACTGCCACCCTGAGCTGATAATTGAACTTGGCACCCAAGTCCACTATGAACTCTTCAACTACTCTGCGCTGTCTCCAAAGCCCACCAATTTTTCAATGCCTAATGCCTCTCACTCTCTTCCGTAAGCCCTTGTCCTGAGGCACATGATGGTTTTGGCCTTTACCTGACTTGGGTCCCACCACAGAAGTGTCAGGTAACCATATTCAAATCTTGCCTCTGCTGCTTATCAGCTGTGTGATCTTAGGTAAGTTGCCTGCCCTCCTTAGGCCTATTAAAGAGGCAGTTGTCCTTGAATGTTCCTTGTGGCTCAATCACTGTAATGTACTGCTCTGTGGCAAAGAACATAGACTGGCCCCGAAGTCCTGGTTTTGTCACTTCTTGTGACCTTGACCAAGTCATTTATCATTTTATACAGTTTTCTTATCCCAGGTATATAAAGATTAAACTAGATAATATATGTAAAGTTTTTAGCATAATACTTGCACATAGTTAAGAACTAAAAAATGGCAGCTATATTCTGTCAGTAATATTGTGTTACTGTTTATCTGTTCCATGAGTTTATTTCATGTTCTCCTAAATTAGTTACTAACTTTATCTTAAGTTTCACACAGAAAACCTTATGGAAAATTCAGTTTCTTAACAGACCCCAGGTGAAGAGGAACAACATTAGTCATCTTTCCCCAAGATACGGCAGACAGACTGACTAAAGTAGGACTCCAATTGGCCTCACAGTTCTAAGTTCTTCATATTGACCAAGCAGAAAACAAGGAAATCTGGAAGTGGAGAACCTTAGTAGTAGACTTAACTAGATCTCTGTCAAAGATTGAATTGTGTCCCCCAAAAAAATCTCTCAATTTAGCTATGCCATGATTCCCAGTATTGTGTGATTGTCTACCATTTTGTCATCTGATGTGATTTTCCTATGTGTTGTAAATCCTATCACTATGATGTTAACAAGATAGATTATCGGCAGTTATATTGATGAGATCTACAAGACTGGGCTGTGCCTTGAGTCAATCTCTTGAGATATAAAAGAGAGAAGCGAGCAGAGCGATAGGGGGATCTCATACCACCAAGAAAGCAGTGCCAGGAGCAGAGTGCGTCGTTGGACCTGAGGTTCCTGTGCTGAGAAGCTCCCACTCCAGGGGAAGACTGATGACAAGGACCTTCCTCCAGAACCCACAGAGAGAGAAAGCCTTCCCCTGGAGCTGATGCCCTGAATTTGGTCTTTTAACCTCTAGACCGTGAGAGAATATATTTCTCTTCATTAAAGCCATCCACTTGTGCTATTTCTGTTACAGCAGCACTAGATAACTAAGACAATCCCTGACAGTCATCCAATTTCCAGTTCTAGTCTATTTCCCAAGCAATCAGCTTATCCTCCTTCTACACTGGACCTCAAAAAAACCCAAGTCTTTTTTAAGTTTTCCAGAGATTTGAAGGTGGGATTTATGTCCTCAGTCTCCTTTAGATGACATACCACAAAGCTTTCAACTACTTTCCATGTAATATATCAAAACTCTTGTCAAGAGCTTCCTCTTACCTGGCTTTGTCCATGCTGAAAGTCATCAGCAAGGGAAGACTCCAGCTGAGACAGACTGGGTGACAAGGAAGTTGAATCTATAGAGGTGCTGGTGACCAATTCCCCTAAAGCATCAACTTGTCTTCTCAAACTGTGTAAAGTGCCTTCTGTCTGTTGCTTTCCTTTAATAAATACTTCTGCTTGTTTGGACATACAATGTCGAAGTTGAGCCTGAAAAATGTTATAAAATTTAGGGTTTTACACAAAAGAAATATACCAGAACTATTACTCAGCTTCCTCATTTTTAACATTTGATAGGCAAATCTGACTACCAGAAAGTAGGAATGGTTGCTGAAAATGCTCTTGTCCTAAAAAAAACATCGTGGAAGGTGCCAGATGGATAATCTCAATGCATAAACGTTTATTAACCACTCTGTGTTGTCATTATTTGGGCCTTTTACTCAGTCCATTCTCTCCACTTTTAACAATGCTTAGGATTTCTGTATCCCTTTCTTCCCCCTTAAATTACTGCTTCATCTCTCTCTTCCTTTTCTGCCATGATTTAGAAGATTAGTTTATATTTCGTATCTTCAGTGTCTCCTCACTATATTTAATCCTCAACCCCAGTCTACTTTCTAGCTTTCCCCTATGCTGTGCCCTTGAAATGATTCTCTCAAAGCCTATAGCAGTCTGTGCAACAGGACTTTCTTGATGATGGAAATGTGGCAACTGAGAACTAAATTTTTAGGTTTAATTATAATTAATCTAAAATTTATACAGCCATACGTGGCTGGAAGCCATTGCTGTGAAATCGATTCCAGCACATAGCGACCCTGTAGGATAGAGTGGAACTGCCCCCATAGGATTTCCAAGGATGTAATCTTTGCCACATCTTTCTCCAGAAGAGCAGCTGGTGGGTTCAAATCGCTGACCTTTCGGTTAACAGCCAAGCGCTTAACCACTGTGCTACCAGGGCTCCCTTAGGTGATCTCACTCACTCTTTTATTTCAACTCCCATCTATACTCTTTAGCTCCAGAATCTTTAGGTCAACACCTAAATCTCAAGGTCAATACTGAACACTAAAATCCCAGACTCCTATTTTTTAGCCACCTATGGATACACGTCCCTGAGTGTCCTTAGGGCTCTCACACACAACGTGTTCTGGGCCAAACTGCTCCTTATCTGAGACCCAAGCCTACTTTTCCAATATTCCCAATCGTTCCTCCAACCACTAGCCTGTGATCTTATTTTTATCATTGTATCTCTATTTCCTGTCCCAAATACTTAGATTCTGTTGGTTTTAGTTGAGGCAAAGCATATTACACAGGCTAAAGAACACCGACCCTGCCATTGACTAATTGTGTGATGCCAACTTGTCTGAGCTTCCACCACGTAATCTATGAAACTGCTGTCAGTGCTGTAATAGAGTGAATGTGAGAGCAGTACGTGAATGTAAGAAATTTCTCTCACTCTACGCAATGTGCCAAGTATCTCATACTGTTATTTTTTTAAAGGCAACCTTGAGTCGATCTTCATGGTGACGCAGTTTCTCTCGGAGTGCTTCTCCTCGCCATTGTTCATCCTTTTTCACAGGGAAAAGGGACATAATAATGAGTCTATCAGTAATCAACCAGCCTTTCCCTCCTCCCACCCCTCCAACCACAAGTCTGTTTTCTTTTTTAGCTTATCTTGGGAAGGGTGGGAACCAATCTTTCAAAAACCCAAGTTACCCTTCTATGTAGTCCAGAGAATACTAGGATAAACCCTTACCATTATGTGAACTTGGGAAAAGTTCAGTTTTTCTTCAAAAGGCGATGGTCTTTCATTCATAGTGAATGGAAAATTCTCTTTCAAGCTTTCCAACTCTCCTTCTAAGTTCTCATTTCTTTCAAAAATACCTTCCAGTTCTGCCGGTAGTTCTGGAAGACACTGATTGAGATTCTTAAGGCTGGTTCTGATTTCATCTTTCACCTCAGATTTAAGTGTCCTCATTGCTTCACTGATTTCCATTTGTCTTCTCTCCAAATCTTTTTGGTTTGCCATCTTAAAGAGGGAGGGAGAGTCAAACAGTAAAGCCCATGCAGTAAAGTTAGGGACTTACTGGAATTGAGCTGTTTAATGTGTCATGTATTTAAAGATCTACAAATGTCAAGTACTGTGATTGTTAGGACTATAAAAACTTGGAATTATTTAAATACTCAAGTATCTATAAGCTACCAGGTAAACAATTTTACTGGCATCTTGATTTAGCAACTTCAGTTTAGAAAAGCATGTGCATAATGTTCCTTGAAGGTGTATTATTCTATGGAAGTCAATCTCTTCGAAGTTAGAGCTGGATTCCAATTTCATTTCCAGTAACATTACCAGTATGACTTAGGGCAAGTTAGCTAACTTCAGAATCTCTGTTACCTCATTTGTACATGGAGATAATACCTCCCTCCCAGATACGTGAGAACTAAGTGAGAATTCATATGAAGCACCTAATGGTACCCAATAAATGGCAACTACAGTAATTAAATCTCCAAAGGGCCATTTACTGAAAAGGGTCATTTACTGAAACAAGTCGTAAGTGATCTAGATTATAAATGTTAATGTGGATGGGTCCTTAGAAATGATCTGGTCAAATGCTTTCATTTTACAGGTGAAGAATTTGGTGGCTTGGGCAGTCTAGAGGCTTCCAAAACACAACAGATTGTGTTTAATACCTGAGACTACTCCATCTGGCCCTTCCCATAAAGTGCTTAGCAAAGATATTAGACTCATACCTACTGCTATAGCCCTACCAAGTTTACAGAGGCATCTAGAATCACTAAGTATTTAAACAAAATAGTTATTTTTTCTTGAGCCAAAGGCTGACTGTGTGGAATAGGGGAGGCACAGATGAAACTGGAATGGCCATATAGATAGTCCAAAGGACAAAATGTAGCAGGACCACAGCAGCCCAGCTGGAGTTCACGAGTGGCCCAGATGCTGACAATGGCTAAGAGGACACCAGGACATCTAGGAATAGAGATTCCATCTATTTACACACCCTCAGTCTGGTTACATTACATAATATCAAAAGTTTCCCCTGAAGTCATTTTTCTTGCCTGAGGATCTGGCTCTTGTATCTGGCATAAAACCTAACATTTCAACATAGTTCTCTGAGACGTGATAAAATTTTATGGCAAAGAATTACCCCTTTTCTTTAAAAAAATTAACGTAATAATCTTGCTGAATTTAAGACAATTTTAAAAGTATATTCTGAACATCATCTTCAACGGTGAGAGATTGAAAACTTTTCCCCTAAGATCAGGAACAAGACCAAGGTTGCCCACTTTCACCACTGCCAGTTAACATTATACTGGAAGTTCTAGCCAGAGCAATTAGACAAGAAAAAGAAATAAAAGGCATCCAAAATAGGAAAAGAAGTAAAACTATCTCTATTCACAGATGACATGATCCTATATATAAAAAATCCCAAAGATTTCACAAGAAAGCTACTAGGGCTAATAAGTGAATTCAGCAAAGTGGCAGGGACAAGATCAACACACAAAAATTAGCTGAATTTCTATATACCAGCAATGAACAATCTGAAAAGAAAATTAAGAAAACAACTCCATTTACATTAGCATCTAAAATAATAAAATATTTAGGAATAAATTTAAATAAGAAGCTGAAAGACTTGTACAATGAAAACTATAAAACATTGCTGAAAGAAATCAGAGAAAACCTAAATAAGTGGAAAGATATCCCATGTCCATGGATTGGAAGACTTAACATTGTTAAAGTGTCGATAATACCCAAAGTGATCTACAGATCCAATGCAATCACTATCAAAACTCCAACAGTCTTTTTTTCAGAAAAGGAAAAGCTGATCCTCAAATTCATGTATAATTGCTAGGGGCCCTAAATAGCCAAAACAATCTTAAAAGAAGAACAAAGTAGGAAGGCTTGCATGTCCTAATTTTAAAGCATATTACAAGGCCACAGTAATCAAAAGTGTCGATAAGGGCAGACATACAGACCAATGGAATAGAACTGACAGTCCATAAATAAACCCACACATCTATGGCCAACAGAATTCAACAAGGGTGCCAAATCCATTCAACAGGAGGAAAGAACAGTCTCTTCAACAAATGGTACTGGGCCAACTGGATCTCCACATGCAAAATAATGAAGTTGGACCCACAGCTTATACCATATACAAAAATTAACTCAAAATGGATCAATGACCTAAAAATAAGAACTAAATCCACAAAACTCTTAGAATAAACCACAGAGGTAAAATTTTAAGACATTGTTTTTGACAGTGGATTCTTAGTTATAACACCAAAAGCACATGCAACAAAAGACAAATTACCATATTTTTTCCCAAATAACACACCCACACATATAATGCATGGAAACCAGCAGAGTGCACTTACGAAAATAACATGCAGGGAGGAGCTGCGCGTTTGACAAAAAATGTATACCGCGCACATTATTTGTGTAAAAATATGGTAGATAATTTAGACTTCATCAAAGGAAAAAACTTCTGTGCATCAAAGAACACTATCAAGAAAGTGAAGAGACAACTGACACAATAGGAGAAAATATCTGCAAATCGTACATCCAGAATATATAAAGAACTACTATAACTCAACAACAAAAAGACAATCTAATTAACAAACAGGCAAAAAATGTCAAATCGACATTTCTTCAAGGAAGATATACAAATGGCCAGTATGCACATGAAAAGATGCTCAACATCATTAGTCATCAGGGAAATGCAAATCTAAACCACAAAATACCACTTCACTCACACTAGGATGGCTATTATCAGAAAAACAGAAAATAACAAGTGTTGGCAAGAATGTGGAGAAACTGAAACCCTCATCCACTGCTGGTGGGAAAGTAAAATGGTGCAGATACTATGGAAAACAGTTTGGCAGATCCTCGAAAAGTTAACAGAGTTACCATTTGACCCAGAAATTCAACTCCTAGGTTTATACCCAAAACCTTGAAAGCAGAAACTCGAACAGATACTTGTACTCCAATGTTCACTGCATATAATGGAATATTATTCAGCCATACAGACAGGAAAATTAAGTTCTGATACATGGGATGATAAAGATGAACTTTGAAAGCATTATGCAAAGTCAAATAAGTCAGACACAAAAGGACAAATATTGTATGATCCCACTTATAAGAAATATCTAGAATTGGCAAATGCATAGAGACCAAAGTTTAGTAGTGGTTACCAGGGGCTGAGAGGAGGGGAGAATGGGGAGTTAGTTTCTAAGGGGTACTGAGTTTCTGCTTAGGATGATGAAAAACTTTTTGAAATAGTGGTGATAGTTGCACAACCTGGTGAATGTAATCAATGTCACTGAAATGTACACTTAAAAATTGTTAAAATGTCAAATTTTATGTTACATATATTTTACCATGATGAAATTTTTAAAAAGTATATTTTGAACAAATATATTCTTCTTGTGGAAGTGTGTTTCTAAATATTAAGACTGGAAAAACAGATTTGACTTAAAGAACATTCTTATAATCAGCTTTTTATAATTTCCACAAAGCAATACCTTCTTAAAAGTGATATTTAAAAAAATAAAGTGTAAAAAAAATAAAGTGTCTGAGCCCTGAGGGGAATGAAGGTGCTTAACAAGTCCTCTCTGTCCCAGGCTGGTCAGTGGGGTCCTGGGCACACACCTGTTTCTGGAGCTCCATGTATTCATGCTGCATCTGGATGAGCTCCTTCATCAGGCGCCTAGCCCGCTCATGGTTGTCCTGGGCCACCTGCTCAATTGTTGCCATTTCCTTCTGCATGCAGCTATTCTCCTGTTTTTGCTCCTAGCACGGAAGGAGGAAAATGACTCTGGGGTCCCACATGTGGTAGTGTGGGTCACTGGTTTATACACTCACTAGTTCTGTAATTTTATTTCCCATCTGGGCCTCAGATTCTCTAACTGTAAAATGGGGATAATTCTATCTGCCTTCTTTGGCAGGTATAGTATAGCTGGAAGTATATACATGTCAGTTTCTTAGCTCAAAGTCTCAAGTCCAGATCTGCAGCATTACCTTTGTTAATAAGTTATTTTCTCTTTCTGAGCCTCCATTAACTACCTGTAAAATGGGAACAAATACCCTTTATCATAAGATTATTGGGAGGTTTAAAACTTAGACTCTATCTACTTACTATCGTTACAATCATCTTGCCTAGTCGTAAGCAAATCACCCTTTGGGAAACACACGATTTGTAAAGTGCCTTTCACACAATACCAAAAAAAAAAAAAACAACAACAACAAACTAAACCAGTTGCCATCGAGTCAATTCTGACTCATGGCGAACCCGTGTGTTTCAGAATAGAATTGTGCTCCATAGGTTTTTAGTGGCTGGGATCTTTCAGGCATTTCTTCCGAGGCGCCTCTGGGTAGATTCAAAGTGCCAGCCCTTCTGTTAGTAGTCCAGTGCTTGCCCGTATGCACCACTCAGGGACTTCTCCACACAATAAACTCGAAAAAACCAGAAACCCACAATTGTCGTGGAGTTGACTCATCACGACCCTGCAGGACAGAGCAGAACTGACCCATAGGGTTTCCAAGGCTGTAATCTTTACAGAAGCAGACTGCCACATTTTTCTCCTGCGGAGCAGCTGACAGATTTGAACACTGACCTTTTGGGTAGCAGCCGAGCACTTAACCACTGCACCACAAGGGAACAGAGCTCCATTAATTCTTCCAGAGGGTGTTAGAGAAATCGATTCCTGTGACAGGCCTCCACTGCTGCCTACCTCCTCTACTCACTATAAACCGTTTCGAACTCATCTGAGTATCACCTCCCAAAATTTATTTTAGGGATAAAAGCATGGTAAATTCAGCTTCCTGGTTTTAGGATAATGATTAATTACAGCTAATGTGGAATAAAAAGAGCAGGCTGAGAAAAATGTGTGAGCACTGACTGCAGCTGTATAAAAATGTCTACTGACACTTTCTCCAACACCACCCTCGTACTCCCTGGGAGTCGAGGTGTAAGTAGAGGCTTGCTATCTGAGAGTGTGTTCGGCTTTGTGCTGACACTGTCTGTTCAAATGACTATCTCCCCAGGCAGCCAGAGAGCTTCTCTGAGGCTTCAGCCCAGTCTCAGGTAAAACCTCCCATCAGCTTAAAAGAATAGATTCTATGTATATACATACCAGTATCAACAGCAGAAATAGGTGCTGGGTTGATGGGTAATTTTCTCTGCATTGAAAGAGTGTTTTAGTTTAGCAAATACATCATTTCCTCATAAACTGCGGGGTGGCAAGTACTCACAAGAAGGTTCTTCTCCAGCTGGCTCCGCTGTGTCTTAAGGGCTTCCTTTAGGGTGGCAATCTGCTTCTCTGCTTTCTTTCTTTCTGTCAAGAACTGGTTCCGCAGGAGGCTGAAGTCAGCCCTCATGGAGTCCATCTCTTTCTGGAGAGCCAGAAGCTCACTTGACTTTTCCATTAATTCCTGCTCCCGTTCTGAAAGCTGTTGTTCTGAAATGAACGATTTTAGGAGGTTTGGCCAGAGACCTTGGGCTGGCTGTGGACAGCTTTTCCATCGAGGGCAGATTACATAACTGACATGCTACTCACTCAGGCACCTTCCTCCATAACTGAGTCTTACAAGTCCACCCTGACCCAGACCAGAGGCACAGATAAGGAAGCCTCCTGAAGTAACTGTTTCCTGGAGGGCCTGATCCCAAAGTGACAGACAGCTATAGTCATCCCTTTCAAGTCTTTGAGACAAATGAGAGTAAACACGGCATCACTCATGAGTGTAGGGGAACATGGAAAAGATAGCTGGAATGTCCTTTATAAACCTTAATTTGAATAAAGGGAGCCACACCTCTACTTCTTTCTTCATAGGAGGCAGTGCAGAGGAAAGAACACAGGATTCAGAGAAATTCCTACACTGGCATGAGCCCCATTTTATAGAAGAGGAACTTACAGCCTGGTGTTCAATGAGAATCATGTATGCAAAAACCTGGTACACAGTGAGTACTCAATATATAATGCTTATAAATAGTAAGGACATTTAAAATGGATTTTTCTAATCATCCTACTTATTTAGAGTAACACACTGCCCACATTTCACTTTTCAACACCTCTGGCATGATCAGACTCAGAATATTAAGTTTCATTTTCATAATGAAATGACTGGGTCTGGATGTATAGAGAATTCCCAGGGAAGGAGAAACAGCCCTTTCAAATCTCCAAGCCCAATAAGTTCATTAAGGGAAACAACATTTTCTGAGTATATGAAACCTTGCAGCCTAAGAAAGAGAAAAATTATTTATTGGTGTGTGAGCAATCATTTGCCCTGGATTCCCATGCCAACTTCATTTATATGTTATTCAAGAGAGAACAAACTGACCCAAAGGCAAATACCTATATTTTGGTTTCATTTACTATGCAAATATGGACAAAAATAGAACTGTTAATAATGTTTTTTGACTGACTGGGATGGAATGGATCATTATTCCCAGAGCTCACAAATACTGTACTTCTTAGAAAGCCTTTAGAGTATCTTTTGGCACTTCTCTGCCTTACTGTTCCACTTTCTTGAGATGGCACTCTTGAGGAAGGCAATATGGTAAAGTGAACAGACCTGAGAATCAACCAGTCCCATCTCCATAAAGATACAAATTTTCATTGTCTCTCTGAGCCTGTTTCCTTGCCTTTCATAAGGCTTTGAGCATCAAACAAGATTTCGTACTTCTGCCTTGCTTCTCCTACCTCCTTTCTGGGTTCTGGGTGGTGCCTGGGTCTTCTTTACACAGTTTACAAGACAACCAGCAGAGCCCCCTGTTATGGATTGAATTGTGTCCCACAAAAATGTGTGTCAACTTGGCTAGTCCATGATTCCCACATTATGTGACTGTCCACCATTTTGTCATCTGATGTGATTTTCCTATGTGTTGTAAATCCTACCTCTATGATGTTAATAAGGTGGAATAAGTGACAGTTATGTTAATGAGGCAGGACTCAAATCTACATGATTAGACTGTATCTTAAGTCAATCTCTTTTGAGACAGAGGGGCCTCATACCACCAAGAAACAAGAGCCAAGAGAACAGCGCATCCTTTGGACCCAGGGTTCTTGTGCTGAGAAGCTCCTCAACCGGGGGAAGAATGACGACAAGGACATTCCCCTAGAGTGGACAGAAAGAAAGACTTCTCCTGGAGCTGTCACCCTGAATTTGGACTTCTAGCCTTGAAACTGTGAGAGAATACCATCCATGTGTGGTATTTCTGTTATAGCAGCACTAGATAACTAAGACACCCCCCAACCTGAGTACAATGTTCCGGAATACATACTGGTTTGGGAAAGTGTCTTCTCCAGGGTTTCATTCCACCTCTTCTCTTCCTGCAGAGTCTTGACATGCTCTTCAGCCACCGACACCTTTGTAAGCACCTGTTCCAGTTCACTTTTCTGGTCAGTTAATTCCTTTTCCAGCTGCTGCTGCTGCTCCTTCAGTGTCATTTTACTGGCTTCTAATTTTTCTTCTTCACTTTCTCTCTCTTTCTGGAGTTTTTGAAACATCTTAGTAAAGAACAACCTTAGTTAATCATAAAATAATAAATACTCAGTGCCCTAAATGAGACAGGTTCCAGTTCAACAGAGAGCAGAAAACAGTCCACTATGACAGATTGAGTTCCCTCTACAAGGGTGATCAATCGGGCTGGAGAACTATTTGGTTGGCAAGTTAGGGAGGGGATTCAAGCAGCAAATGGCATGTGGTCATTAAGGTTCTTCAGAGGACCAACGTTCTATGATCTTAATGGTCTCATTAATACCAAGAGATTCAAACAGTTGGCGTAAAATCCATACCTGGTTACATACGGCAGTTAAGGGAAGCACAGTTCCACAGGGGATACTTTTTAGTAGCTTTCTGCTAGGAGGAAAAAAGCTCACACAAGTGGCAAAATGCTTCCCTTTACATGAAATTATAAACGTGTAGTATGTACCATTTCTTGTTGTACTAGCTTGAGCCTGTTTTCTTCAATCTCGTTCTGAAGCACCTGAAGTTGCTTCTGTTTTGTTTCTCCTTCTTTCTGACAGTCTTCAAACTTCTTTTTCTGTTCACTGATGTCCTTCTGGAGCCTGGTCTGCTCACTAAGTTGTATGTCTCGATGCTTGGCGGTGTGAAGCAGATCCTTCAGGTGAAAGAACAAACTGAAACCACTAACAAAGCTATCTTTACATGGCTAGTGCCAATCAAGTAACAACTAAGTCTCACAAAATGAGAAGGATCAAAGTTCTACATCCTTTATTATCCCAATTAACTTTTAGAAAGGCATTCAGAACTCAGTTTAACTATTGGCTTTCCTTTTATTTAGTATCTAAAAAAGGAGATGCCAAAAACATGTAACTCAGGCAAGAGACTCAGTTCCTCCAAGCTTTAGCTGACTGATTACTGAGATGGAAATAAACAACATTCACCTCAGGACTGTCGAGAGGATTAAGAAAATCTGGGAATAAGGCTTAACAATGTTAGTTAAAAATAAGCTTGAAGTCCTGGTTTTATTACTATTTAAAGTATTTATATATCTTTAAAAAACTCAGAAAACATAACTTATTTCTTCAAGGAACCCAAATGAAGCGTTTTTGAAAATCACAGAAAATGTTCATTAAGAACCTGTGTTAAGAATTTTAAGATGGAACACTTTGATTTTAAGTAGAAGAAAGAGAATTTAGATGTCTAAACCAACTGCTAATTTACATAGGGGAAACTGAGGCCCAGAACTTGCTTGAGGTTCTTTGAAACTCAGTATTATAGCACTATCCTCACAGGACAACAATGAGTTACTTTTAAGATCATCAGAAGTACCAGGGTCAAGAATCCTCTATTTAACATCTGACAAGACAGAGGCCCAGATCTGGAGGCTACTCTGCAGATCAATGAGTGATGAAACCTAAACCCAGCCTTGGAGGCCTCATCTGTGCCATGGATCAGAGATGGTCCATCTGGTCCTAGAAGCCCCCAGAGGGACTGCTGAAAGGTCAAGCTCTGGTCTCACCACCACACTATTTATCAGCTTTGAGTAAAGCTTTGTTTGAATCAAGAGTTCTAGGGCTAAAATAAAATTTGAAAACGATTGCTCTGCACCAGAATTTTTATTTATATGTTTGTGTTATATAAATGGTCCCATGGGACCTGCTTGTGTGAAAAAGCAGCCAGCCTACCTGATTTTTGTTGTTGCTGTTATTTCAACTGTCTGCATGCCTTCAGGATACTACTAGATTACATCTGTTATGCTTACCTGTTCTGCTAAATTCAAGTGGTCTTGGACATGAGCTAATTCTTCCTGTAGTGTGTTTACTTCTTCTCGTTTTTCTACAGAAGTAAAATTTTCATAGAGTAAGAAATACCTATGTATGCATATTTCAGATTCCCATCAGCCCCTCTAAAAAGTAGGGTGGAAATAAATTTAAACATATTTCTGTTACATGCACGATTATGCCACAATATCTTACTAAAGGCCAAAAAGTTACATGCACAACCCAGATCTGAGTTAGGGCCCAAGTTTTTAAACACTTACATGTTCAAAACCTCACAATAAAAAAAATTAAATATAATACCTAATGTAGGTGAGATTCATAGTTTAAAAATGGGTACCTTCTACATTGCTGATAGAAATGTAAATTGGTACAACCTTTCAGGAAGATTATTTGGGAATAAATTTTGTATCCATATCAAGGTCCTGGTTTTGTCACTTAATAGCTGCGTGACTGTGAGCAAGTCAATTCTTACTTGAGCAAGTCACAGAAACGATTTTAGTTTCCTCATCTGTAAATGGGTGAAATGACAGTTTCTACCTTATAAAAATGTTATGAGAATTAAATGAGAAAAATGCCCGTAAACAGTTAGCATCAGGCCTAGGACATAGTTAATGCTCAACAAACAAACATAATTAGCTACAATTATTACTTAGGAATTTATCCTAAATAATCATGACTATTTATAAAGATGTGGCAATAAGGATGCTAACTGCATCTTTGTTTTTGTAATGTATGTATATATAGGAAAAATCTGGAAGGATATTCACCAAACTGATTATAGGAATTATCTCTGACGGGTGAGGTTAGTGGTAATTTTTATCTTTTTGCATGATTTTTACTTTTTCTTTAAGGAACGCAGATTACTTTAAAAAACAGCTTTAATGAGATATAATTCACATAACATATATTACTCAATATGTACAACTCAATGGCTTTTAGTATATTCACAGAATTGTGCAACCATCACCACAATCTAATTTTAGAACACTTTTATCATGTCTAAAAGAAACCCATGCCTATTAGCATGAACTACTTTTGTAATAAGAAAAATCAAACAATTAAAAAAAGAATCTAACAAAGGAAAAAAATACTCATCTTTCCTGTTCTGCCGTCTCATACCTTGTAGCTGTTGCTGCATTACTAAAATGTCTTTATGCAGTGAGAGCTTGTCTCTGTTTAGTTGGTCTAGTTCCTGCTGCAGTTTTCTGACACTCAATTCCAACTTTTCTAAGTTTGACTGCTCCATTTTGCTGTTCTCTTCTGTAGCTGCCAAAACTCTATCACAAAAGCAGAGAATAAGTCAACCTGTCAAACACAAAATGTTCACACATACACGAGGCATGGGAGGCACAGTGTTACACTTTCACAATATATAGTCATGGAAAGTTTGAACAACTATAAATCTTAATAAAATCTAACACCCTTCAACTCATTTTCAAAAGAAATTTTATTATCAGCTTTCTAAACAGGAGATTTTTCAAAAAGTGACTCACTAAATTGAAGTTTTAGAAAAGCCATGGATAAAAACATGGAGTATGTATTCTTTTACATCAATGGAATCATACTGTATGTACTTGCTTTGTCTGGCTTTTTTCACTCAGCATAATTATTGTGTAATTCATCCAAGTTGCTGTGTATATAAATACTTAATTCCCTTTTTATCGATGGGTAGTATTTCATGGTATGGATGTACTACAATTTGTTTATCCATTCACCAACTGATATGGGTGGACATTTGGGTTGCTTCCAGTTTTCGGCTATTACTAATAAAGCTGCTGTGCACATTAGTGTAAAATCTTTAATTTCTCTTGCATAAATACCTAGGAATGAAATGGCTGCATTTTATGGTAGGTGTATGTTTAAGTTTTTAAGTAACTGCCAAACTGTTTTCCAAAGTGGTTGTGCCATTTTACATTCCCTCCACTAGCATATGGAAGTTCTTTGTTAACACTTGGTAAGGTCAATCTTTAATTTCAGCCATTCTAACAGGTGTATAGTGATATCTTTGTGGTTTTAATTTGCATTTCCCTAATGATTACTGATGCTGAGTATCTTTCCATGTGCTTATTTGCCATTCATGTATCTTTGGTGAAGTGTCTGTTCAAATCTTTCACCTATTTTTTTTAAAAATTGGGTTATTTTCTTATTATTGAGTTTTGAGAGATTTTTCAAATATATTTTCTGGATCTAAGTCCTTTATCAGATACATGGCTGCAAAGATTTTCTTTCAGCCTGTGGCTTGTCTTTTCATTATCTTAACATTGTCTTTTGATGACCAGAGTTTTAAATTTTGATTAATTCTACTTTTATAAATTTATTTCTTTATTTATCATGCTTTGTGTCATACCTAAGAAATCTTTGCCGAACCCAAGGTCACACAAACTTTCTCCTATTTTTCTTCTAGAAGTTTTATATTTAGGTATTTACATTTATGTAAACATAATAAGTCTTGAAATCAGGTTTGTCAGTCCTTAAACTCTGTTCTTCTTTTTCAAAGTTGTTTTCAGGTCATGTCTAAAAAATTTTAGATTCTATTCTAAATTTTATAATCAGATTGTCAATTTCTACAAAAAAGCCTGCCAGGATTTTGATCGGAATTGTCTTGAATCTGTAGATTAATTTGGGGAGAATTAATATCTTAAACAACAGATTATAAAACAAATTAGAAGGAAAGTCACCATAAAATGCTACTGGTGAATTGTATTATGATACTGAGTTTGCAGTGTGTCTGTTTTTTTGTCTCTATTTTCCAATTTTTAAAAATACTGTGTTTGTATTATTTTGACAAATTAAAAAAATGCTTTAGCCCTTCAAGAAGTAATCCTGTAAGCTTATTTGTTCTGCTATCACCTTTTGGTTTGTGCCAACTTCTTTTCCCAACTGTCACATTTCTCTTCAAGATCTTCCTTTTCTTTGCTCAAAGATGCCATACACACTTGTAATGCTCGGGTCTCAGCAGTCATTCGCTCTATTTCCCGTTTGTCCTTCTCAAGGAGCTGCTTCTGCCATTCTATTTCCCCTTTCTGTCGCTGGGCTGTCTGCTGCAAATTCTCTAACTCCAGTTTCTCCTAAATGAGATAAAAGAGAACTCAAACATCCTAAAAGAGAAAGGCTGCAGTTTGTTAAGGGTACAACAGCTTTGTTCATTACCTCTAACACTTCAACCTGCATCTTCTCTAATTCAGACACCTTTTGGTCATGCTGTAGCTTCAAGCCCTGTAGCTCATTGTTTTCAAGTTGTAACATGTCCAGAATATTCTTTAGTTCTAACAGACAGAAACAAAGCATGGTCCAAGCTATTACATAAACTTGGAAATATTTACAAAATGAAATAATAATGCTATGGACTGAATCAAGAAGCAATAAACAGATAATTAAAAACCTTTGTTGAACTCAACTCAGGGAGTTACCAAATTGTTTTTTTAATGAAAAATAAAAATACTGTAAAAGTATTGTTATATATTAATTTGTTTAAAATATTTTAACAAAAACATTTAATAAAGATCTAGTTCTAAAAGCAATTCCCCCCATATAAAAGAATGAACAAAGAGCACTTTCACACAAGTAAAAATTAAAATACATGTGGAAAACTTAAAAGTATAAATCTAAATTTATGAAAGAATTTTTTTGGCCCTTCTGAATTACAGATATTTAAAAATAAACATTTTATTTTCTGATTATAAAAATATTTACTCATTGTATAAGATTCAGAAAATATTTTTTAAAAAGTATAAAAGAAAATGATAATCAAACATTACCCCATCATCCAAAGATAATCCCTATTACAATAACACTTTGATATATTTATTTCCATAAGTACATATACATAAACATATATTTTAAAATAAAATGGGATTATACTGCATGTTCAATTTTTATACATTTTTTCACTCTTCTCATGAGCATTTCTGCATGTCATTAAATGCTGTTAAACATATGATTTTTAAATTGGTCATTTAAGCTATTTACAAATTTTGCCATTATAAATATTGCTGTAATGTGCATAAATGCTTGCCCTCTCTAACCAAACGTGTTGCCGTCGAGTCCATTCTGACTCATAGCGACTCTATATGACAGAGTAGAACTGCCCCATAGGATTTCCAAGGAGCAGCTGGTGGATTTGAACTGCCAACCTCTTGGTTAGTAGTTGAGCTCTTTAACTACTACGCCACTCTAGATTACTAGAAATGGGCTCAGTGGTTCAATAGCTGTGAATTTTAAGAATAATGAAACACAGGTAGATTGTTCTAATTTATACTTCAATAAATAGCCTGTAAGTGCTACTCTTTCACCATACCCTGGTCAGCAAGGAATATGATTATTTTTCTTTCAAATAAATGTTATTAATTTGAACGGCAGAAAACAATATCCTATTCCTTTTAAACTTTGCTTTTCTTTACTTATTAATAACTTACTTGACCACTTGGATTTTTTCTGTGACGTGGAATATAGATATTTTCGTATTTCATATACTTCAAATTTTATGATTGTTTTTCTTTAAACTTACCAGTTTTATGTTTAAACATTTGCCTTAAAACTACCTGAAGATTTTCTTCCTCTTTCTCAATTTCCTGCTTTATAAGTGCAAGTTGAGATTTTTTTTCACTAATCTGGACATTCAGTTCTCCTTTCTGAAAACTCAGTTCTTCCAGAAGAGATTTTACTTCCTGTGGGGGGAAAAAAATCATGACTCTCTGCAAAATTATGAATGGAAATTACTTTAAAATTAATTCTCTTATAAATGGTCTCACTGCATAGAAATTCTAATTTGGAAACAAGCTCATCTTTTGCCTTTTATGTCAAGAATAGCACTATTTTTGTATTAACATATTTATGTATTATAGAAGAAAGTAACATATTATCTTCATTTAAGGGTATATGCAACATTACTATGTGCAAGGCATTGTGTTGTGGAGAAGAAAAGAGGTGGTTCCTGCCCTCAGGGGCTCAGCACCTCACCAGGAGATAAGGAAAGGCACATAAACAGGATCACACAAGGCTAAAGGTACTAAATGCCCTGGGAAACATGTAGACAGAGTGACTCAGAACTCAAACGAGGGACAAACTCCTTCAGCTGGGGTAGGGGAAAAATTAGGGAAGTCTTCAAAGAGGAGGTGGTATGAAGGTAGGTCATGAAAAACGGACAGGCTGTGGCTAGCAATGAGGGAGGAAGGGCATTCCTGGAAAAGAAATCGTATAAGAAAGAACACAGATGCAGGAAAATCTTGGGCATATCCAGAAAACGACATGGGGTGGAACAACATGTGACAGTCATAGCATAGACACACAACACAAAACCAAAGCAATGTTTCAGAGACTTCGAAATTTCAGCCATCTGTATTTGCATTTAGGGGAAACTAAATGAAAGTATCTCAAGATACATCCATAGTATTATCCTAGGGCTCTTAAGAAAACCTACAGAAAAACAAACCCTAATGTGACTGCACTTCTCAGCTACTTCAGTCTCTCCCAGTCTCAGAGCCTCCTGGAGGTCAGCCTTGGCCTGGACCATGCTTCCTTGGAGTAGATGCAGCTCCTCCTTTTTATGTCCCAAGTGCCTGTCCAAGATGGCCATCTCCTGTTGTTGACTTGTCACCTGCATTAAAGAAAAGGGAAGAATGCGAAGCTTGACAAAAGTCATGCAGTTTTCAGCAGGTAGATGGAAAATACTGAATCCAGCTAAAGCTACCTGGTGAGGAGGTTGTAGGGAGACATTAGTATCTATTGCTCGAGTCCCAAGAGTCAGGAAGGCTAGACTGGGGGTGGGTGCATGAAATGCCTAATAATGATCTTGAGCTTATATACTTAAAACCACTCCAATAACAGCAATAATAACAATATAATAATAATGATTATCCCTCAGGTTATGGTCTTCAAAACACTTTCATATCTACATTTCATTTGATAATAATGTTGATGACAGAAGTTAGGCAGGGATTTATTTATATTTATTCATTTCGGAAATTTTAAAACTACTCAATTTTTTTTGTTGTTTATTGTTGTAGTTTAAATGAAGTTTACATTTCAAGTTAGTCTCCCATACAAAAATTTATACATATATTGTTATGTGACCCTAATTGCTCTCCCCATACTGTGACGTGATGGCACACTCCTCCTTTCCACCCAATTCCCCATGTCCATTCAACCAGCTCCTAACCCTATCTGCCTTTCCATCTCACCTCCGGACAGAAGCTGCTCATTTAGTCTTTTGTATCTACTTGAGCGAAGAGGTACACTCCTCATGAGTATCACTTTATGTCCCGCAGTCCAGTCCAATCCCTGTCTGAAGAGTTGGCCTTGGAAATTGTTCTAGTTCTGGGCTGACAGAGAATCCAAGGCCATGCTTTCGGGTGTTTCTCCAGTCTCAGTCAGACCATTAAGTCTGGTCTTCTTACTAGAATTTGAGTTCTGCATCCCACCTATCTCCTGCTCCATCAGGGACTCTCTGTTGTGTTCCCTGTCAGGGCGGTCATTGGTGGTAGCCAGGCACCATCCCGATCTTCTGCTTCTGGTCTCAGGCTGATGAAGTCTCTGGTTTATGTGGCCCTTTCTGTCTCTCGGGCTAATACTTTCCTCGTGTCTTTCATGTTCTTAAATTCTCCTTTACTGCAGGTGGTTGGGACCAATTGATACATCTTAGATGGCCGCTTGCAAGCTTTAAGACCCCAGATGCCACTCACAAAAGTAGGACACAGAACATTTTCTTAAAAAGCTTTGTTATGCCAATTGATCTAGATGTCCCCTGAAAGCATGGTCCCCAGACCCCTACCCCTGCTACTCTGTCCCTCAAAGTGTTTGACTGTATTCAGGAAACTTCTTAGCTTTGGTTTAGTCCAGTTGTGCTGACTTCCCCCAGAGCGTATGCTGCCCTTCCCTTCACCTAATTCTTATCTACTATCTAGTTAGTAAATAACCCTCACCCTTCCTCCCCACCCTCGTAACCACCAAAGAATGTTTTCTTCTGTGTTTAAACCTTTTCTTGAGTTCTTATAATAGTGGTCTTATACAATTTTGTCCTTCTGTGACTGACTAAATTCACTCAGCATAATGCCCTCCAGCTTCCTCCATGTTATGTTTCACAGCTTCATCGTTGTTCTTTATCGTTGGGTAGTATTCCATTGTGTGGATATACCATAATTTGTTTATCCATTTGTCTGCTGATGGGCAAACAGGTTGTTTCCATCTTTTTGCTATTGTGAACAGTGCTGCAATGAACATGGGTGCGCATATATCTATTCGTGTGATGGCTCTTATTTCTCTAGGATATATTCCAAGGAGCGAGATAGCTGGATC